GCTATTTTTAGAACTCCATAAACTGTAGATGATGATGCAGATAACTAAAAACAATACTAAATAATTCTCATCTATAAACATAAAAATAAATTCTGGATGGTGGAAGTTCATTTGATTTCCCTTGCTCATTGCATGTTCATTTCAACATTCCTGACCTATGGATGCATGCATTCTTTGGCTTGCCTTTGAACTGGTTGGAAGGTCTTATCAATTCCTTTATTAATAATGAGTTAGAATAGAAATTTGAACATGTCTTTATATCTGTGTGAGAGTGATGGGTTTCCTTTTAAACAAAATTATTCTTTATATATCCAAGACATATAGCTTTAAGAAAGCCCAAAGATGGGAATTCCCTGGTGGTCCAGTGGTTAGGACTCCATGCTTTCACAGGCAAGGGCCTGGGTTCAGTTCGTGGTTGGGGAAATAAGATCCCAGAAGCCACTCGGAGACCAAAAGAAATAGTAATAATAAAACCCAAAGAGGAACCATTGGTAGGTAGCAACTACTCACTTATGCAAGCTCTTCCCCTGTGAGCGGTTACAATAGGACACAATTAATAAGTGCTGAGACCCATTTCTTTAGGATCACAGCCCTAAGTACAGAGGCATGTTTTTTATTTATGACAGTGCTCCGGGTAGGGCTTCCCAGGTGGTGCTAGTGGTAAAGAATTCTCCTGCCAATGCAGGAGACAGAAGAGATGCGGGTTTGATCTCTGGGTCAGGAAGATCCCCTGGAGAAGGAAATGACAACACACTCCAGTATACTTGCCTGGGAAATCCCATGGACAGAGGAGCCCAGACTGGGTTACAGTCCATGGGGTTGCAAAGAATCAGATAGAACTGAAACAACTTAGCACACACACAGTGCCCTGCGTGACTGGGGGAAAAAAACAAACAGAACACATATTCGGATATGTCTCATAAGCATTACAAGGAAACTTCCCAACACTGAAATAATGGTAGGAGCAACACCGAACATCTGGAATGAAGGCACATGATTCAACAAGGCAGAAGATAATGAAGTTTCCAGAAGCTTCCATCACCCATGCATTCCTCAATAAATATTTACTGAGCACCTGCAAGTGAAACTGTTGGGTGGCATTTTGGGGGCACTCCGAGGAGCTCTAATCCTTTATGTCTCAGCACAAAGAATTCAGTAAGAGAAAAAGTGATAACTAAGAAATGATTTATTAGACTAGGACATTTGTGAGGCTTATAAGTGGTTGGGCTAGAGGATGCCATCCCCTGAGAAGTTATTGGGCTAAAGTTTTATAATCAAAGGAAAAGTGGGGCAGGGGGAAAGACCACTTTCTCCATCATTTTTGAGTAGACATTATGCTTCCATCATTGGCTCCTCCTTCATTGGGCAGAAGAGTTTTCTTGTCCCTACGTGGTCAAGACGAGACTGTCACGGCACTATGGAAATATTATTTCAGGCCTCAGTACAATGAGGCCTTTGAAATTCACCTTTGCATAAATGAATTCTTTTTATGTGTGCAGAGAGCACGTCCTAGGGATCATTAACTTACTGAGTTGACTGGGCAGGATGTGATCTCAGGCCACCATTGTTTTATTGTTTGGGGGCACGTCTCTTGCTTCTGTTGGATGGTTTTCTTGCTAAGCAGGCCTGCTTGGTTTTTTGGTTAAGCCAGCCTGCTTTCTTAAACGATCATTAACTTACAAGGGTCTCCCATATTTTTTCTATTTACAATCCCCCAGTGGGATTATTTAATCACCTACCTTGTTCCTTTACTCTGTTCCTGTCACAAGTGCTATGCTCAATCTTAATGCAATAAATCCAGAAGTAAAAGTCTCTTCAGTGGGTTGAAACTAATTTCCTAATCCAAAGTGGAACTTACCCCCTCTGCCGCCCACCCATGAGCTCTACAAAGAGAGATATGATGACATGAGAGGACATGAGAGGTGTGACTTGGATCTGAGCGGGGCAAAGAGCAAGTCGTGCTGCCTCCTGTCCCGGCCACAGGGACAGTGAGGGCTTGTATCTCTCCCGCTGTGGGCAAGGACATGTGGTCCCTGCTGGCAGAGCAGAGTTGGTGTCCTTTCTGCCCCCCCCACCCCCACCCCATGCAACCGTCATCTGTGAGGGCTCCCGGGGATGTGACCGACTGATTGTGCTACCAAGAACTTCCTTCCTTGGCCCTTGGGGAAAGCCTGGTGTCATTTGTTTACAATCTAGCACCTGCTTATTGTTGTTCAGTCACTCAGTCATGTCCAGCTCTTTGCGACCCCATGGACTGCAACAGATCAGGCTCCTCTGCCCCCCACTATCTCCTGGAGTTTGCTCGGATTCATGTCCATTGAGTCAGTGATGCCATCCAACCATCTTATCCTCTGTCACCCCCTTCTCCTCTGCCCTCAATTTTTCCTACCATCATGGTCTTTTCCAATGAGTCAGCTCTTTGCAGATGGCCAGAGGATTGAAGCTTCAGCATCAGTCCTTCCAATGAATATTCAGGGTTGAGTTCCTTTAAGATTGACTGGTTTGAGCTCCTTGAAGTCCCAGGGACTCTCAAGAGTCTTCACCAACGTCACAATTTAAAAGCATCAATTCTTTGGCACCTCTGCTTAGGAGATAATTTGGTGACCAAAGACAGTGTCATCACCAAGTGGTATTTCCCCAGGGAGCCCAGGCCCCTCAAAATGTAGTTTTCCCAGGCTTCTCTGTGGTCCAGCAGTTAAGAATCCACCTTGCAATGCAGGGGACACGGGTTCAATCCATGTTCTGGAAAGATCCACATGCCATGGAGCAGCTAAGCCTGTGTGCCTTACTTATCGAACCCACAAGCCGCAACTACTGGGACCTGCACAACTGAGATCGTGTGTTCTGCAGCGAGAGAAGCCAGTGCAATGAGAAACCTGCACACTGCAGCTAGGGAGTGCCCCCTACACCCCCACGCTGCTCTGCAACTAGAGAGTGCCTTCTACACACACCCCACCCTGGCCACTCTCTGCAACTAGAGTACCCCCTACACACCCCACCCCGGCCCCGCTCTGCAGCTAGAGAAATGAAGGTTTCTCCCCATGCAACAACGAAGGTCCTTGAAGCTCTTGACTGTTTGTTTCTTCCTGGTCTTGCGTACCCTCTCTCTTCCCTAATTAGGAACTGCTTGAATCTGCCCGTTGGGACTCAGGGAAGGTCACGGAGGCTAAAGGAAGTCTATTTCCTATAATCAAAGAAATGGGGGTGGTGCGGCACAGAAAGTCTTTGTGCCTAAGAGCCCCCAGGGCTCTGCTCAGCATAATTCGCCTGCCCAGTTGAGTTTATGATTAACATCTTTATTCAAAACAGTTGTTTCCTTTTCTCATCCAACATCTGTTCTTCTCAAGCTTGGGGAGTACCAAAGAAAACTGGGGGCAAGCAGTTGCTAATTTGGGAAGGGAGGGGATGCAAGACCAGGGAGAAACAGTCAAGAGCAGCCTTGGGGCAAGGTCCTTGGGGCAATTTCCATCAACAGATACACACAACAGTATCTTTGAGCTGTTTTGCAAATACTGAGGGGCTTCCCAGGTGGCGCTAGTGGTAAAGAATCCACCTGCCAATTCAGGAGACACAAGAGACGTGGGTTGATCACTGGGTTGAGGAGATCCTCTGGAGTAGGAAATGGTAACCCACTCCAGTCTTTTTGCCTGGAAAATCCCCTGGACAGGTTGGTTACAGCATCATACCAAGGAAAATCGTTAAAAAAAAAGCAATGAAAATCAAACAAATATGTCAGCTTGAGTGTTGTAGGTCTGCAAGAGTACTTGAGAAAAGCTTAAAGAGGAAAAGGGCCAATGGGCATCGAAGGGAGGTCAGATCTGAGAGTAGGGTGAGGGGAAGAGAAGACTCTTCTCTTCCCAGAGAAGAGGAGAGTGGAGTCCCTGGAGGGGACTTTGAAAGTGGGACACAGAGCTTGGCCGAGGGAGGTGAAGCAATGAACTGCAGCCCAGTTGTTCTCACATGCTGTCTAGGGGAACCTGACAAACAGAAACACCAAATCCCAGGCCCTAGGTTTGGAAAGAATGAGTTAGGAGCATGCAAAGGGAAAGAACAGAGGCCTAGAGTCAGTAAGGCTGACTTCAAATCCATCTCTCCTCAGCCAGCAAGACCCCTAAGATGTCAAACCATCTTCAAATGCCTAAAACAAAGTACATAATTAATACCTGCCTCTTTACCCTAGCAATGCTTCTATGGCTGAATTCATCACACTGTTGACAATTTTGTGATTGTTGTTTGTTTGGATGTTTATTGTCCTTGTTCAACTGTGAGTTTATCAAGTTCAGGCTCTGCATCTCATACATCTTTGTACCTTAGGCATCTGTAGGGTACCTGCCCCCAGGCAGGTGCCTGACTGCTCTTCAAAATCCCATAAGAAGCACTTAAAAATGTACCCTCAAAGATTCTGACTTAATTCATCTGGAGTGTTTAAATGTCTACTGATTCCTTGAATTTCCTGGAAGAAATTTTCCAGAAGGAAACCGAGGCTGTCCACCCAGATGTGGTCATTTAAAGCACAGAGAGAAATCCAGGTCCTGCAAGCCAGGGACTTGCCTGTTACAGGAGCATCCACAGCCCATTTTGGTAGAATGCTGGACACTGACTTGGCAGGCCTGGCAGAACTTGGCCTTGAACCAGTGTGGTTCTTCTGTGGCCCCAGGCCATGCTTTCTGGGGAAGGGGGCACTTACTCCACCCCAAGCAAGGGTCCCAACCCCACCTCTCTCCTACCTGTGTCTATGAGCCTTTTGCTCTAAAGCAGTCAGGTGCTGTTTGTCTCTCTCAGGAACTCTGGTCTCTATGGTTTCCCTCCATCTGTCTGCAGCTCTCTTGTACATCCACAGTTGGTCTTCTGCTGGCTTTACAGAGTAAAGCTTGAAAGGTAAGAGAATCGTTTATGTGATTCCAGCAGCTTTCTGTAGCGTCCTTGGAAGGAGGAATGCCAGAAAACCCACCCAGTCTTCTTTCCTATTCTCACCCACTCCACATATTAGCTCCTCCCTGGAACTCCCTAGAACTTTCTCCAACTGCCTCCCCAACGACCAACCGTTGCCTCCTCTGCTGGCCACTCCAGGAACCTTCCCTACGCTCTCCGTCGCTCAATACTGCCAGACTCTGGTTGGGCCTTAAGGGCCCAGACTCTGGGGCATCCTGGAGGGAACTTTCTCCCCACCTTCTCCAGCCCTGAAACCTGCCAAGAATTCTCATCTCCCCACAGCCTCCTCACCACAGCTCCCACACTGCTCTGGGTAAGTGGCCAGACTCTTCTCCTTGGCGTGGAGTATGAGATGTGAGGCTGGGACTTTCCATAAGGACCAGCCAAAGAGACAGAGAAACCTCAGGAATGAGAACTGTGGCCTGGAGGCCTTAAGGAAATTCGTGTTTAGGGTGGTATTGTCAATTTCTTCACTCTAGTATGATTTGAGGCTTGTTATTCATGGCTTTTCTATGCTTGTTTCTGAGCATCAGACATTTCTTTAACTTTCCCAGAAATGGCTCTTGGGTACATATATCACTTCTGGAGTTCTGTGCTGGGAATTGGCAATACTAATGGGATTAGCATTACTGATTTTGTTCAGACAGGCCTTACCGTGGAAGTAAGTAACAGACTCAGGAAGTTTCCTTTCTATGTGGGGTCCTGATTTCCCCATCCAGAGAAAGAAGGATCTCAGGCTGATCCTGAGAACTAGAGCCCAAGGTGAAAGGTTATAGTCTTCTTGGGTTTTTTCTGAGCATGCGTCTTGTCTGGACCTGCATATGGCTTTTTCAGTTCTTCCACTTATACAGCTACTTTTGAATATCTTAATTTCCCCAAGAGTCTCACCCTAGTTTCCGCTTAGGACTTTAGATTGTCTTTTATGGGTGTGAAGTGAAGTGAAAGTTGCTCATTCTTGTCCTACTCTTTGCGACCCCATGGACTATACAGTCCATGGAATTCTCTTGGCCAGAATACTGGAGTGGGTCGCCGTTCCCTTCTCCAGGGGATCTTCCCAACCCAGGGATTGAACCCAGGTTGCAGGTGGATTCTTTTCCAGCTGAGCCACCTGGGAAGTCCTTTATGGGTATTTACTCATATTTAATTTGGCCCGCCAGGCTCGTCTGTCCTTGGAACTCTCCAGGCAAGAATACTGGAGTGGGTTGCCATTTTCTCCTCCAGGGGATCTTCCTGACCCAGGGATCGAACATATCCCCTATGTCTCCTTCGTTGGCTGGAGGATTCTTTACCACTGATGCACCTGGGAAGTCCCACAAAAGAACACATACAGTATAATTCCACCTATATGAAATGTCCAGAATAAGCACATCTATGAAGAGAGAAAGATTAATAGTTCCCAGGTTCTGAGAGAGGAAGGAATAAGGAGTCACTGCTAATGGATTCTCTATGCTTCTTTGGGGGTGATGAACATATTCTAGAATTATATAATGAGGATAGCTGCACATCCTTTAGTGATTTTTATACTAAAATCCCCACTGAACTGCACATGTTAAAAAAGTGAATTTTATGGTATGTGAACATATTTCAATGTTTTTAAAAAGGAGGAAGGAAAGAAATGACTGAGGGGGAATTTGGTCACTGCAGTACAGAGACTCCAGAAGGCAGAGATGGAAAAGTTGAGGAGGGAGGGGAAACATGAGAGTCTGTGTCTGGTGGAGAAAAGGCAGGGGACCCTTGGGCAGTGATGGGGTGCCAGGCACAGAGGCCTGGAGGAGGGAGAGGAGGGCAAAGCATTCTAGGAGCACTGGTTCAGTAGATCTGGGTACCTAGAGAAACCAGGATACCTCAGGAAGCCAACGGTGTGGCCTGGTTGATGGTGCTGGGAGGTGGTCGTCAGCCCAGGTGCCTGAAGGAAGAGAAGGCAGCTTCAGGGGTGGGCACTGAGGGGGCTGGAGTTCAAAAAGACAAGTCTTGTGAATTCCCCAAGGAAAGGATCAGATTCAAAAACACCAGGAACCTCTGCATTCTGTCAGATCTCTGTACAAAAACAAGCCAGAGAAAGTTAGATAAATAAGCAATGGGGATCCAGGGCCTAAGGCCAGCCCGAGAGGTTACTTTCCCACTGATATTTATAGGGAGTTAAGAGCTATTGAGTGAACATGAGGACCATCAGAAACAAAAGTGGCAAGTTTGTCAGGCATTCAAACAAGAATGTATGTAGCGTCTAGACCCACCAAGGGCTGCCTTGGAAAACTAGACACAGACTAGGCATTGCCTCTGAGACACTGGTAGGCTGGGGGTGGGCAGACTATAAGCTAATTACTAAGTATAAATAGCTACAAAATAATTTTACTAACATATAAAAACAGTAGGGAGAGGAATAAATTGCTCTGATTCTGTATAGCAGCAATCTAATGGAGTCTGGGAATCAGAGGAAGTTTCTTTCAGGAAATGACACTTCCAGATCCCCCAAGGGGGAATGGGAAGGGGCAGCGTAGTACTGGAAGGCCCTGGGGCAGGAAGGAGTTTGAAGGACTGGTAGAGAGTAGAAAGAGGTGGCTAGAGAGGCAGGAAGATCCAGATTTTCAGGGCATTGTGGGATACCTGGAAGATTCCAGGCTTTATTCTAAGAACAAAGGGACTAGAGAGGAACAGGTCAGGGCACAGCGGAGCCAAAAGAGGTGTCAGGAGAGGGAATGGTTAAGGAGCATGGAGTCTAGAATCAGAAATCGAGGATTCAAATCTCAGGTTGGCCACCTACTACCCATGTAACCCGGGTGCAGGTTCTCTAGCTAAATCTCTCTGTGCCTCACTCTCCCCCTCTGTACAATGGGATCATAATAGTACCTACTTCATGAGGATTATGGGGCTTCCCAGATAGCTAGTGGTAAAGAACCCCCCTGCCAATATAGGAGATAAAAGAGATCCAGGTTTGATCCTTGGGTCCAGAAGATCCCCTGAAGGAGAGCATGGCAACCTATTCCATTAGTTCTTGCCTGGAGAATCCCATGGACAGAGGAGCCTGGTGGGCTACAGTCCACGGGGTCTCAAAGAGCCAGACATGACTGAAGCGACTTAGCACAGCACATATGAGGATCACAGTATGGAATAAAATACATATCATCATGAGAACTCAGTGCTAACAGCCTGGTGCTCACTGAATAAGGAGGAGTTGCTGACTCAAGTAGTCTCCCCAGGAGCAATCCTGCCCCGTGGACTCACTCCCACCTCCAGACAGCCATTCATCCTTACTGGGGTTAAAGGCTGCTGACACCCAGAAGAGTTCTGGCTTCTCTAGTCACTGTCACTCTGAAGGTTGGAGCCTCTTGATCTTGGGTGATCATTCTGGCACTACCATCCTCTGATTTGGGCTGTCCTGTGAGCTCCATGAGAGCAGGGACCTTGCTCAGACTATGCCCCACAGCCACAGGGCTAGGCACATAGGAGGTGCTCACACCTGCTGGTGACACAGACTGGGAATGAATGGATGAAGAGGTGGATGGGTCTATGGAAGAATATTTACACTATCCGTTAATTATTGAGCGTTCCCTATGTGCCGGACTCCTTACTGAGTGCCTTATATAATTCATTTCATTTTATTCTCACAACCATCTTATGGGGAAGCTACTCAGAGACACTCTCCAGTAGGGGAGGCCTTGGGAAGGATCTGTGGGGGAGCCCGAGCCATGCTTCAGAGAGCCTGATCACTGAGAAATGTGTTTAGTTTATAGCCCCAAAGAAGGGCTTTTTGCTGGAAGTTGGATCCTGGAAGTAGGAGTTCAACCAGAAAGCAAGCTCAGCTAAAAATGATTTCTTCAAAGATCGAGCTGTGTAGACTGCTGAGCCACGGTCTCACCTTCCTTAGACAGGCACAGGGAATAGGAGATCATACTTGTTTTTGAAAAGAAGTACTGCATCCTAGGTGGCGCTAGTGGTAAAGAATCTGCCTCAAATGCAGGAGACATAAGAGGCACAGGTTTGATTCCTAGGTTGGGAAGATCCTCTGAAGGAGGACATGGCAACCCACACCAGTATTCTTGCCGGTAGAATCCCATAGACAGAGGAGCCTGGTGGGCTACAGCCCATGGGGTCACAAAGAGTCAGACACGACTGAAGCGACAGCACACAGACACACACATCCTAGAGAGGCATGGGCCCCCCAGCCATGTGGTTTAGCTTAGAGCGGAGCCCAGGAGTCCTTGGTCCCCCACGGCCCTCCCAAGGTGTGAGAACTGCCTTGGATCTTTCCCCTGCCCCGCTCTGGTTCCAGTCAGAGCCCCGCACACTCCAGCCTGCCAGCCTGTTCCCCAAGGGAATGCAGACTGCCCTGGGGTCCCCGCTGAGCTGTTCAGTGCAGCTCAACCCCAAGCGCCCCCCCCCTCCCTGGACAGCGCTGTGCATGCCACCCCCATCTTGGGCAGCTCTGCAGGCCGTCTTCTCCAGGGACTATTATTTTGGGAGAGTGCTGAGTTCAGCACCACCACAAGGTATAGCTGGACGCGCCCTGGTGTCCTCAGCTGGCCCTTCGGAGCTGTCCTGCGGGCCAGGCAGCCCCACCCACTGGAGCAGCGGCCCTTCCTACACAAGGTCACCACGTTCAGCCATGACCCCCACCCCACAGCCCTGAGGCCATCCAGACAGGCGGCAGAGGAGCTGCGGGCAGGAGAAGCAGAGCTGTGCCGGGGGCACTGCCCAGCCTCACTCCTGCTCCCAGAAAACCCAGCAAAGGCAGGCTCTCAGGAGCACCCCCAGGACCGAAACCCTGGGGCCACCAGCCTCCCAGGCATTTGCCTTAAAGCCAGAGGGGCAGGCTGGCCCTCAGCCAGCTGACTGCACTCAGGGAAACTCAGGGTAGGAGGTGTGTCCAGGACGAGGTGGGCCGTGCGAGAGGCTTAGATGAGCCCTCCCGCTCGCCTTCCCGCTCTGCCGTCTGCTCCGAGCCCCGGGCAGCAGCAGGAACGAGCCACAGCACAGCTCTGCATAGACGGAGGAGGGGCCTAGGACACGACTGTAAACTGAATCCAGCTGGGAGGAGGCCCAGGGCCGCCCAAGGGACTTGTGTCCGGGTGGCGGATTAGCTGCTGGAGCCCAGGCTGTGCCCGCCCTTCTCCCTGCCGAGCAGAGGGCTCTCTCCCCACCAGGTGGGCCCCCTGGGGCAGAGGCTGTGGGTGGGAAGGGCACCTCCCTGCAGAGGGCCCAGCAGCTCTGAAGACTCCTTCCTTTCCAGGTGCCCATGGGCTGGACCATGAGGCTGGCCACAGCAGCCCTGCTCCTGGGCCTCGCGGCGGTGGTCACTGGAGAGGAGGAGGAGAATGACTTGTGCATATACGAGGCCCTGCCTGACAACGACGCTGTCCTTTGCAAGTAAGGCTGGGTGCAAAGGGAGGGGGTCTCCGGGAGTCAGGGACCACTGGCTCCCACGGCAGAGTCTGTGGACAGGAGACTTGGACTGAGATCGAGGAGAGAACTGTGAGATAGGCCTCTGCCATCAGTCAGAGGGTGGTCCTCTCAACACCAGGGGGGTACCCAGATCTGGCTGCCTCCCCTGGGGCCTCCAAACCTGAGGGGCTGGCCTCACCCTCCCTGCTGGGACCCCAAGAGAGACCATCCCTCCCCTGCAGCCTGGAACGCTCCCTTCCCCCCAACAAAGTGGCACTTTCAAGAAAAGTGGTATTTGACAGAGGCTGTGTAACCAGACCCTCCCTGTGTGAGAGGTGGTTGGTTGTTTTTCTCAAACAAAGCCCCAGAAGTGTCAGGACAGGCCGGAGTGGGGCCACTGGACATTGTCCAGAGAAAAGGCTGGGCGTCAGAGGCTGGCTCTGTCTCTTCCAAGGGCACAAGCTTCTCCCCCTCTGTGTCGGAGTCCAGCTCGCTCCTCACCCACCGTGGGTCAGAACCGGTCTTCATCACCCTGGACTCACGGGCCATCCCGGGGGCTGCCCAGGCCACGTTGCCCCCATCACCCTCTGCCAACCTGGTGGCCGAGGACGCTGGCGTCACACTGAGGCCGTCGGAAGTAAGAGCGGGAGCAAGGGCTCGCCCTTCTTACTCCGTCTCCTTGAGCACATTCGAATTCTTACAAACATTAACGTTACTTTTAGAGAGACAAATATGTTTTTTCCTTAAAATGTTAGGCAGCTGAATTCCGCCACCTCCCCCTCCCCGAAAATGGCGCAGATTTTGTTCCTATCAGTACAGGTGTAACTCTGGTGGAACAGTGCATGGTGAGATTTTGTGTGACGGAGGGCGGGCAGGGCTGCTGCTCCTATGTGCGCAAAGTGCCCTATGGAGCAGGACCTTCCCGGGGGCGGGCAGGCCTTTCCCTTTGGTGGACCGGCCAAGCCCCCCCAAGCTGGGGAGGACAGCGGGGCCAAGGCCACGATCACAGCCCCGTGCAGAGAACCTCTGTGCTTCCCGTGTTCACTGTGGGACACATGGATGCCACGTGTACGGTCACCATGTGCGAGGGGAACCCGCCGGCACCCCGGCTGCCCTGGGCTCGGTCCTGCAGACATCCACAGGCTGGTCTCCCAGTGGCCTGGGGACCACAGCAAATGCAGGAGCTCTAGTCACCCGGTAAGTGCCGGGAGTTCTGCCAGTGATTTAGAATCCTTGACCTACTTCATTGTTACCATGAACCCACCAAGTATGTGTTATCATCCCATTTTGCAGATAGGAATCCCCAGAGATTAAATAACCTGCCCACGGTACTGATACACCTGACCAGTGGCAGAGCTATGATGCAAACCCCTCCCCCACCGTCCCATGTCTGACTACACTCCTACTCTTTCCCCACTCACCTTAAACTGCTGACCCTCGTCCAGGGCCCAGAGCATCTCAAGGGAAGGGGATCTGTCTTACAGCAGTCCAAGGGGCTGCTATAACACAGGGCCACAGACTGGGTGGCTTATGAAAAGCAAAAAATTATTTCTTACCATCCTAGAGGTGCTTCCCTAGTAGCTCAGATGGTAAAGAATCTGCCTGCAAAGCAGAAGACCCAGGTTTGATCCCTTGGTCAGGAAGATCCCCTGGAGAAGGGAGTGGCAACCCACTCCAGTATTCTTGCCTGGGAAATCCCATGGACAGAGGAGCCTGGCAGGCTACAGTCCATGGCGTCTCAAAGAGTCAAACACAACTGAGCGACTAACACACAGATTCTGGAGGTTGAGAAGTCCAAGGTCAATGTGCCAGCAGATTGTTTGTCTGATGAGATCCCACTTCCTGACTCATAGATGGCTGGATTCTTGATGGGTCCTTGCAGACTGGAAGGGGTGAGAAGGCTCTCTGGTAAGTCTTTTCTGTCCTATCCATGAGAACCTCACCCTCATGACCTAAGCACCTCCCAGTGGCCCCACTTCCAAGTTTCGTTACCTTCAGGGCTAGGATTTCAACATATCAATTTCCAGTTCATTGCAAGTAGTCATTCTCAGGACTTCCTTAGAAGACACTAGCAGATCCCCAGTTTGAGAACTGAATGGACTTCCAGCATTAAGCTTGCATGCTAGGACACGAGTTTTTGACTGCAGATCATCATTGCAAGAAGGAAGCTTTGACTTTATGACTGTTAAAGATTCTTTTTTTGTAAAAGATCCAGGGGATCTTCCTGACCCAGGGATTGAACCTCAGTCTCCAGCACTGCAAGCAGATTCCTTACCATCTGAGCCACCAGGGAAGTTCATTAAAAGATCATCACGGAATGAGAACATCAAAGAACATATCAGACTCTGAAGCTGAGATCACAACCTCCTGTTCTGTGCCCCCATCCCCAAGGATCCTGCTCAGTTCAGGCTCCTGACCTTGCTGAGAGACTCCCCTAGAGAAACGCCACCTTTCCCGGGTATTGTTAGAATCTAACAGGGAATTCTTGAAGTTAGCACTCAGTACCTAAAAGTATTAATCTATAAGGGAGGAATTTCTTGTACTGTGACAAGCAATGGAGAAATATTGTTAAGAGAAAAGTTCTTCTAGAATAATACCTTACCCACGCTTGAGGGGCTTCCCTGGTGGCTCAGATGGTAAAGAATCGGCCTTCAAGGTGGGAGACCCAGGTTGAGAAGATCCCCTAGAGAAGGGAAAGGCAACCCACTCCAGTATTCTTGCCTGGAGAATCCCATGGACAGAGGAGCCTGGCTATGTCCACGGGGTCACAGAGAATCAGACATGACTGAGCGACTTTCACTTCACTCTTGAGGAAGACAGACTAGGCCAATAAAACCACTGAGGGTCAGAACTCTAGGTTCAGCCATAGACATGAAAGAATCAAAGTCATCCAACCCCCACCCAGGGGGTGAGTCCGCTCAGGCCCTCTCTCCTTGCTGGCTTGGCCCCAATGGCCCCAGCAGACTCTCAGGGACACGACCTGCTTCTCAAAGCCCTCTCTTCTGTACTGAAAACCTCCCACATCATGGAGGGCAACCTTGTGTCAAGGCTTGTGACTGGTCACAGTCACCCTTGTGACTGCCCTTCCTTAACTTCACCCCCATTCTTCCCAGTTTTGCCCCAGGCGCTTCATCGAACATGTCTAGTCTCTCTGTCCCTGGAGGGTCCTTCCGATGTTTGGAGACAGACGTCATGACCATCCCCCAGGCCCCCGCCTTCACCTGCAGTTTTTTCCTCTGAGCCTCCACCTCTCATCCTTCAATTCTTCCTTGGGGGTCTTGTTCTGGGCCCTTGCCTTCAGGGAGAATTGGTGGGAGATAGACCCACATGTCCACACTGAGAACCACACAGCAGGGAGTGGGGTATCCCCCGAGTCCCCAAGCGCCTCTATGAAGGCACCTTCCCTCCATGGACCTTTTTGTCTCCCTTGCTTTTGAGGCAGCTGGGATTCTGAGCCTTTTTTCATCCCCAGAGAGCTGTTTTTCTCTGATCTGATTCTCGCGATGCTAAGTTACTTCCGTGAACGTCCAGTCAAGGGAAGTGCAGACAAGCCTATGCATTCCTTCTCTGTTGCTTAGAGCAGAGTTCCCCAAACCTCACAGCGGCACACATTTATCGCCTTGGTTTCTCTGGGCATGGCCCAGCTGGGCACCTCTGCCCAGGTTCTCAGGAGGCTGTGGTCCAGCTCTCGGCCCGTGGTGATAGCCTCACCTGAAGAATGAGACTTGGAGGCAACATGCGGGTGTCAGACCCTGGGCTGACAGTGCCCTGTGGGTATGATGGGGACCTGGCTGGATAGACCTAAGTCCTGGTCCCCTGGCATTCTCTGGGGCTTTGCTTGCATGCTCAGTCGTGTCTGACTCTTTGTGATCCCATGGACTGCAGCACGCCAGCCAACCCTGTCCATGGGACTTTCCAGGCATGAATACTGAAGTGGATGCTGTTTACTGCTCCTGGGGATTGTCCTGACCCAAGGATGGAACCTCTGTCTCCTGTGTCTCATGCATGCAGGCCTATTCTTTATCGCTTGAGCCATCTGGGAAGCCCCCTCGGGGGCTTTAGGCCTGATCCCAGAGAGGCAACAGAGAGCAGTGGCTTGAAGCGAGATCTTAGTTCCCTGCCCAGGAATTGAACTTGGGTAGTCTGGATAAAAACCAGGAATCCTAGCTGCTAGTCCACCAGGGGCTAGAGGCAGGAAGCAAAATTCCCCTGGCCCTTGCCCCCCTCCACTGAAAAATGCATTTCTCAAGGAGGCAAAAACTGTAAAACCAAGTATGAAGTTTATTATTAGAGACACAGCAGAACAATTGGGAGAGCGCACAGATAAACAGTGTGTTTAGTTAAGACAGGAGCAAGGCAGAGACGCACCGGAGAGAAAGGGTGTGGGCGTCTCCCCTAGTGAGGAATGCAGTAAAGAGGCGGTTAAGTCATTTATATAGGGCAGTTCTTCTGGGTCTTTGTTTATCTTTGGCCAATTATTTGATTTCTTTTTCTACATTTGACCTGCCCTAAGACCCTCCCCATGGAGAAGGCAATGGCACCCCACTCCAGTACTCTTGCCTGGAAAATCCCATGGATGGAGGAGCCTGGTGGGCTGCCATCTATGGGGTCGCACAGAGTCGGACACGACTGAAGAGACTTAGCAGCAGCAGCAGCAGCAGGACCCTCCCCAATATCCATGCACAACTGTTCTCCGGGATGGATTCCAGCCCAGAGGCCTATGGGGGAGCCTAGCATCACCTGCTATGGGGTGTTTCCGCCTTCTTTTTGACCCTCAGGGAGGCTTCCTGTCCATGTGCAGCATCTCCCTTGTCCCATGGAGGGGACACCTGTGACCTCTCGATCTTTTACTCAAACGGTTTAACACTACTCTGTCCCACCGTAGCTATCATCTTAAAGTATCCACAAGAGACAAAGCCTGGCTATTTGTCCTGTTTCTGTTATTATTTCTATTTCAAAGTACAAACAGGAGGATGATTGTAAATACCTAACCTGGAGCCTACTTACTTCCTGTCTCACGAAATGCAAACAGGAGGCTAGTTGTTGAGTGTCCCACCAGAAGCCCATCAATCTCCTGCCTCAGGCCCACTCACAAATGTCAGTTTGATGATTTTGCTTAACTATAAGATCAAATCAATCAATCCTAAAGGGAATCAACCCTGAATATTCATTGGAAGGACTGATCCTGAAGCTGAAGCTCTAATACTTTGGCCACCTGATGGGAAGAGCTGACTCACTGGAAAAGACCCTGATGCTGGGAAAGACTGAAAGCAAAAGGAGAAGTGGGCGGCAGAGAATGAGATGGTTAGATAGCATCACTGACTCAGTGGATATGAAATTGAGCAAATTCCAGGAGATAGTGAAGGACCGGGAAGCCTGGCTCTCTGCAGTCCATGGAGTCACAAAGAGTTGGACACGATTTAGCTGCCGGACAACAAGAACATTTAAACATTTGCAGCAATTCTACTGGGATAGAAAAAGGAGACACTTTTGTTCCCTCTGGTCCTCAGTTTCCTTCCTCCCCACCTTTGCCCCCCACCCCCTCCCAGTTCTGGGCTGTGGGCTGAATCTCCATCTTTCTGCCAGAAGAAGGTCCCCTCTCTCAGCCTTAGATCTTGATAGCTGCTGTGGCAGGGGGTCATGGCAGAAACAAACCAAAAAGTCCTTAAAATGATGCCATGAGGAGAGATGAAAACCCATACTCTAAAACTTCTTCAAAAGTTATTAAAACTATACCACCTGAGGGCTTCCCAGATGGTCCAGTGGTTAAGAATCCACTTGCCAATGCCGGGGACACGGGTTCTATCCTTGGGAACATCCCACATACTGCGGAGCAACTGAGCCCATGAGCTGCAAATACTGAGCCTGTGCTCGAGAGCCCAGGAGCTGCAACCACTGAAGCGCATGCACCTCAGAGCCCATGCTCCACGGCAAGAGCAGTCGCTGCAATAAGAAACCCAGCACTGCAACCAGGAGGAGCCCCTGTCACTGCAACTAGAGAAAACCCACACGAAGCAATGGAACACAGAGCCCAGCCAAAATAAAGTGAATAAGTAATAACACTGATAAAGAAAGCGCAAGAGCCTAGGGCAGGGACAACGGGTCACCCAAAGAAGTGAGTATTCCAACTACTGCTGGGATTTGCAGGCATGGACAGGGTCTTGATTGTTTAAAGGACAGAGAAGTTTGTCCCCATGAAGAAACCTGGGATAACTTGCTAAACCTTTCTTTGTGTAATAAGAACATTCCAGAAAAGCAACATAAAAATATCATTCTTATATACCCAGCCCTACTTTAAAGACACTGACTAGGTTTGCCTACAGATTTTTTTTTTTTTGAAAAGTAAACAAGTGACAGTAATGAATACTTTCTGACTACTGATAACCTGCCAGGCCCTGTTGTAAAAATCGATCACTACTTTACCCCTCTCACCAACCTGACAAATAGGTATTATTAGTATTCCCATTGTACAGGTAGAGAAACTGAGTCATAAGAAGTCAAGTAACTCAAGCTCCACAGGTCAGACTGAAGCCTTATGCACCCCCAGCTCCCTGAAAACCCCAACACAAGACAACCACCTCCCTCTCTCCACAGGGGCCTTAAGATTTTCTACCCAGAGTTGGGTAACATTGGCTGCATGATCGTTCCTGAATGCAACAATTACAGACAGAAGATCACGACCTGGCCCGAACCAATCGTGAAGTTCCCTCAGGCCCTGGAGGTGAGTGAACTGGCCTGGCTGGAGTGGGAGGGTCCCTCTGAGATCCAGGTGCCCTGAGTCTGCTTCTCTGAGTGACAGGAAACCACGTGCAGAGCCAGCTGAATCGGGTTTGGCGGTACCAGATGACTTGTTGCCATGAGCATGTGCCTCCTTTAGAGTAGCCCACCGCCTTGGAGGAGGTTGGGGTGGGTAGCAGGGGCTACAGGCTGCGAGCTTTGGCATGGTTCAGGGGGTGCTCCACCCGGGGACTGGCCAGGGGATGCAGAGGGTGGCTTAGGAATTATCGGCAGGGACAATGAGAAGGGAGGGATCTATGGGGAGCTCTTTCTCAAGGTGGTTTTCGGAGTAATCTAGATGGGGAGGCCCTGATTTATAAGGAGCAGCGCTTCTCACCTGGGCTAAACAAGTGGAGGTCAGTGCCCTTGACTCTTGGGCATCGCAGTATGAGACCCATTCAGAAGTTGGCCCCGACTTGCCCAAAATAAAAAAGAGAAACATTCTAGGAACTGGATAGAGCTATTCCTTTTTCTGGAAAATGATCGGTACCATCTTGTTCTGGAAGCTTCTCTTGGTCTGGGGATGTGGTGAGCCTGGGGAAGGGCGATGGGATGGGAAACAGACCTGCAGTTGTCAGGGAGGCTGCTCCAGGGCCTTAGTCGCCTTTTCTTTCTTCTTTGACTCCAAGCTGAGCTCCCAGGGTGTCAGGAGGCAGAGGGTAATCCTTGCTTTGTCTGCGGGTTGTAGTAGAATGTGCCAATGTCAACCTAGGCACAAGGACTGTGATGTGTTCAGGACTCGAATGGGTGGAGACAAAAGGGTCACGGTCAGGATGTGACCACGGGCACACCTCTGCCAGCCTTCTGACCCCCCTGTGCATCGTGGCCGGGAGGGAGCATAGAGGGGTCCCGCCTCCGACGGCCCCGCCTGGGGGCTGCCAGCACAGAGCTGACAAGATGACAGGTTCTCGAGCGGGGGCTGCGAAGACTACTCGGAGACAGAGAGGGGGATTTTTCTTTTCTTCCTTTTCTTTAGCCGTGGCTTGTGGCTTGCAGGATCTTAGTTCTCCGATTTGGAGATTGAGCCCAGGGCCCTGGCAATGAGACCGCAGAGTCCTGACCGCAGGACCGCCAGAGAATTCCTGAGAGTTTTTTCTTTCTTTAACTTTCACTATCAGGGAACAAACACATGGTGATCTGCTTCATAATTTATGAGGCTGAGAACATGAAGCTTTGACAGGCTATTGTGTCTGCAGTGTTGACAAACATCCTTTCCTCTGGGAAGCTAAGGAAGCTAGTCCTGAGAGACTTCCTGGGTGTCCCCTTCCTCAGCTCTCCCAAGCCTGCCACACAGGCACATGAGTATGCATGCACACACACATGCTCACGTCAGCCCTCCCCGCCAGAAACCCTCCGCCTGGGTCATAACATAGATCGGTTGTGGGAGAAGGGGAGGAAACATAAGCCTCTGTGACTGTAACTCAGGGCGGGAGCCGGTTCCTCCAAGGAAAGGTACAATGCCTCCTCCATGAGACAGGACTCTCGGCTTCACCCTTAATTCACTTGTCCTTAAGGAGTGAAGAGTTTGGACCAAATACTTTCAGAGCCCGATGACTGTCCCAAGAGGCAGTCTAAGCCAAGAGCGCCAATCCCAGTGATACTGCTCCATTCCATGTGATGTTGCTGTATATGTCCACTAGATGGCAATGTAGACTTTCCTGAGTCCCTGGTGCCCTTGCAGCAGCAAGATTGAAACCAGTTTGGGAAGCCTTTGCATTCGATTTGGTCTAGCTGGTACTGATGGTCCTTGGTCATGAACACAAAATGCAAAGAAAATATCACTGCCGCCAGATCCTGAAATCTCCCATCCTGCCTCAGCCCAGAGTGGGGCAGGGGTGAAAACCTGGAGATTTACGAAGGATGCAGAGCTGTGGATAAGAAATCCAAAGAAAGCAGAGATTTCACAAAGGACAGTCTGGCCAAAGTGGTGGAAAGAAAGAAAGGAAAAGTAGAATTCTACTGCTAGAGAACTAAAGTTTACAGAAATCTGTCCTTTGAGAGGCAGGTTCAGCTAGAGTGTCCAAAACTACCACTCGTTGGGTGGGACCCACTTTATGCTGAGCACTGTTCATGCATTATTCCATTTAATGTGCACATGAAATTAAGTATTTATTTAGTCGAGAGTTGGTGGCAACAGACGAAAGTCCACTCAAACTGGCTTGTAACAAGAAAAAAGAAGGAAGGCATTACTGGTTCACAAACTGAAAACTCCAGGGATAACTTCAGGCGTGGCTGGACCCAGGTGCTCCATCAACATCACCAGGAAGCTATCTGTCCCTTTCCTGTACTTGTTTTTTCTCTGCTGGTTTTGTGTGTAAACAGACTCTTTCCTGTAATGACGAAGATGACTCTATCAGCTTCAGAGTTATGTTTTACTAGTTTATTAACCCACTGGATATAGACTGCCCCCATCCAACCATTCAAAGTCCCCATGTTTGTCCTGCTTGGAGCTCGTGTTCATCCCCCACCCAAACAGTGATGCTGAGCACCCCATTTCCTCTACAAGGGCTGAGAGCAGAAGGCGATGGTACCCCCAAAGGAGCATCAGGGGGCAGGTTTCCAGAAGGGAGACAGGATATTGAGCAGGAGACACGAGAGAAGGTGCAGAGTCCCTTAGAAGTGGGGGCAGGGAAGCCCGAGTCCTTAGCGACAAAGAAGAGGACGAAGGCAATTCCTCTGGGCCCAGGGTCTGATGGAAAAGGGCAAGAGGTTGGTTGCCTTTCAAAGGTGATTAAAGCAGTTCCACCAAAGCAGCTTACAGGGGACACGCCCAGGAAGCCCACCCATGAAGCAAGCCGTGAAGGCCTGGAAGGAGCAGCGCAGTGGACGGGGGACTAGGCTCTGTGCCCAGTAGACGTCTTCCTGCCGACTCAGGCCCCTTCCCCAGACTTGGACCCCATACTCCTGCACTCCCCGCCCCTACCAAAATGCTTCCTCCTCTGAGAAGCTTTCCCTAACTGCCTTCCTCTGAGTAATGCTTTCCACCCTCCCAATCTTTGTTGGGTCTCTTCTTTCTCTGAGCATTTTTCACATCCCCTACCCTCCAAACCCAGCGTTTACTTCCCTCTGTCTTGTACTGTGGTTGCTTATGCATATTTCCTGTAGCATCAACTGATTTATGAGCTCTCGGAGAGCAAGACCATGTGTTGTATTTCTTTGAACTACCCACAGCCCCTACCAGCATCACAGACCCCATGTTGGCTGACTGGGTGGCCAGGTGGCCAGATGAATGAATGAAGGAAGGAATGTATGAATGGCAGGTGGACGGACACACCTCTTGGAGCATCAGCTCTGAGGTGTGGGAGCCCAGTGGTTTGTGCTTCAAGCTGCCGTGTATCCTGAGGCCTCGGCAGAACCCCAGGCCAGCATTAGTCTCTCCTCTACCAGGATAGGTGGGTGGCTGGGGTTGGGTAGGAGGAAGCAGAGAGAGAAGAGGAAATAGGGTGGGCCCCCTAGAAGGCAGAGTAGTGCAGGAAAATAGGCTGGTGTTAGTGCCAACAGCCACAGAGAGCGGAGAGAGGTGAAGAAACAAGAAACTCCCCTCCCCTGGTGCTCTGACAAACATTCAGAGGCAAACATCTTAAAACGCCTCCCCTTCTCGAGCCAGTGAAGACCGAAAAGCCCCTGAGAAGCTTCTTGACTGTGGCTTATTCTTCACCTTGAATTTAAACAGCTGGAATCCTTTTGAAGGGAAGAAATTGCCTTTAAGTGGGGAGTGTGCATTGCATTAGAGGGAAGGAACACAGACTGCAGCCGTCCTTCCTGCGGGCCCTCGGCTTTCCAGTCTGTTCTCCTCCCCAGCAAGCCAGTGACCTTGAGTGTCCTCCCCCCGGGCTGAGCAGGCGTGTCCCCATGTCACCCGGCGCCTACAGCATCTGTGTGGTTGTCTTTTGGGGACCACCTCCTTGCCTTCATCGGCCAAAGGCAGAGACACAAGTCTCAGCACAAATCTTACAGAGCCCTGGACATCTGGAGACATGCACGTGTGGGAGAGTCAGAGGCCATTCTCGATGAAGGAGGCCTTGGCGCTCCCCAGCCCACTGCCTACCCCTCTTCTTCTTCTAACTTTTTACTATGTACAGTAATACAGCTGATGAACAAGGCTGTGATAGTCTCAGGTGGACAGCAAAGGGACTCAGCGTACACACACATGTATCCACTCTCCCCACAAACTCCCCTCCCATCCGGGCTGCCACATAACATTGAGCAGAGTTCCATGTGCTTTTACAGAAGGTCCTTGTTAGTTATCCATTTTAAATATAGCCATGTGTACATGCAACCATAAGTTCATTCTCTAAGTGTGTGAGTCTTTTTCTGTTTTGTAAGTAAGTTCATTTGTATCATTTCTTTTTAGATTCAGTATATAAGGGACGTCACACCATGTTTCCCCTTCTCGGTCTGACTCACTTCACTCAGTGTGGCCCTCTCTAGGTCCATGCAGGTTGTTGCACATGGCATCATTTCATTCTTTCTAATGGCAAATATTCCATTGCATACATCTCACACCTTCTTTATCCGCTTATCTGTTGATGGGCATTTAGATTGCTCCCATGTCTGGCTACTGTAAACAGTGCTATGATGAACACCGGGGTGCATGTATCTTTTAAGATCCTGTTTTTCTCTGGATATATCCCCAGCAGCTCCCCAGAGCAGAAAAATGGGAGCCGCTGCCGTCCTGTAATGACCAGGACACAGGGCTGCCGACTCCCAGGCGCAGACCCTGATGGACTGGCAGATCCTCCCGGCTCGTTTTCGAAAAGATGCTGAGAGGGAATGCGCCCACGTGCAGGGGGCAGCCAAGCCCAGGTGCTCCTGGGCCAGTGGCTGGTGCACAAGTTGTTGAACCACAGGCACCCTGTTAGTGCTGCAAACTCAAAGATAAACGTCACCGGCCCTGAGCTCCCAGCCTAAGGTGGCGAGACAGACAGACACATGGAGGACATG